GCAGTACGGTTACCCAGCAGCGTCTTTTGCCGCTCCGTGGAGTGGGACGGGTGGTCCAGTCGAGCCGCCGGCCGCGCCGCTCGGCCAGTTCCAGCCCGTAGGTGCCGCATCTTTGCAAAGCTTCAACATCAGCAACTTGCAAAAATCGATCAGCAACCCTCCGGGCTCCAACCTGCGGACCACTTAGCCGTGCTCGGAGACCAGGCTGGCTAGACCTCGGGACAGGACATGGGGAGGGAGACGGGGCCCTGTTATCAACTCCTAGTGCTGCAATGAACTGGTAGCTTGCCAGACTGGGAATGAATTTCTCTTTTCCAACCATTGCTGTCAACTCTCTGTAAAGGGAGTTTCCCCACATGCTTTCAAGGGGGAGGAGGATGATCAGCATCCTTATGATGGGACGGTGCTTTTGACCAAGGGGTTCTGCTCTTGTTTGGAACAAGAGCTGTGAGGTCACGGGGTCAGTTAACGCAGTCTTGCTGTAAAATTTCTGTCTGGTTTGAGGCTGAACCCACCCGTGTTGAGGTGGGAGAGCTGAATCCTAGCATGAGGCTTTAGCACGCTTCTCGTCTCTCCCTGAAGAACCAAGACCAGGAGAAAAGCTGTCCAAACCCCCCTCCTCTCCCTCTCCCCAGTCAATCGTATCGGGCTCCGAAATGGTGGGGCACACGAATGGACTTGCAGTGCAGCCCGTGCTTGATAGGTCATTACTGCTTTAAGTAAGGTATTAACAGCTTTGACTGCAGCATTAGAGCAATTTAAATTGTTTAAAAATTTTTAAAAGTTCCCTGCGGACATGTACTTACCATCAGTTTTGATGTGGAAACACTGTGATATATAAATGTTGTTGGACAACAGTAGTTTAAAAATGAGTGGAGTATAGAGGGTTAAAAAAGTTAAAAAGAAAAAAATGGGAAAAAAAGCTAGCTATATCCTTATACTTATTGGAGACACTTTAACTTTTTCCTTTGTATTTTCATTGTATTAGATAAATAAATGTGAATGTAAAATTGTATAAATTAATGTACTTGAATACTTGTCTGTTCTCCCAGTATGCTTGCTGGATATTTTAGTGCCTTGGACTTCTATTGCTTCTGCAGTTAGCATCGTCTTCCCAGCAGAGCCCCAGGTGGACAGAGGGCAAGTTCAGAGAAGGACGGGTTGTTTGTACCTAGCGACTGGGACGTTCGAGTTTGTTTAGTGCTACCATTACTGTTTAGAGTAGGTGTGTGGAGGAGGGCGTCGTGGAGGCAGCGCGTTGGAACAGCGTTCTGTCTGTTGGGGAAACTTGTCCGGGCGGGCAGATCTGAAGTTGCTGGTGTGACAGGGGCCAGGTGGGGGTGGGACGGAGGGTTGTGGGTGAAGCTAAAACGAGACTAACCAATATTGTCTACGGAGGCAGGAGGTCTGGATCGGAAACGGAGAGAGGATGGGGAGAACGTGTATCTTGGGGAAAGGCCCAACTTAAGATGCAGTTTGACTCCACCTGCGAAGTGGTAAAGATGTTTGGTCGGGATGTGACTTGAGGGAGAGGTGCCATTGCTCGTTGGCATGGGCTTGTCTGCTGGGATTGCTTTTCTTACCTTTTTTTTTTTTTTTGGTAAAATCCATTTAAGCCAGGAATAGACCGTCCTGGTGCAACGTCCATTGCCGGCAATGGATGTACTTGAAACAGCCGGCATCGAGAAGTTTCCTCTGTCTTGTTTGGAGGATTTACGATTTTGTTCACTCTAACCAATTTCGAGCTGGTACCAGGACCGTAACTATCTGTCACCTCTTAGTAACTGTACTGTACCTTCTGCTTTGGTCATTCTCCCTCTTCATATTTAAAAAATACTGGTTTCCTCTTCAAAGTGAAAATAATACCAGCCAGTATTTCTGTAGTGCTGCAAAAAGCTGTGAAGGATGAGAGGACTGCTTCTTGGTACTTGCGAGTAGCTCACCGGTATCCTGGAGGCTGGTGCATCACGGAGATGTTACTTGCCTGAATATTTTTCTGGGAGCGCTTGTCCCCCTGTGGAGCCTTAACAGGGAGGTTTTTCTGTCTGCGGGGGTTCTCGCTCTTTTTTATTTTTACAAAGAAACGCGCAAGATCCGTTCCTTTCCTGTCACTTTTTTTACAGCCGTTTTGGCAGCAAGGGCAGGTGCAGGCTGGAGATGAACGCCCGAGGGCGAAAGCTAGTGGCGAGGTGGCCGGGCTCCGAGTTCCTTAGGTCTGGGGGTTTGTTCTTTGTATCTGAAGTGCAGACTAGAGCTACAGAATGAGAGAGGAGGCTCACGGTGTGCGTGCGGTGGAAGGGGGGGGGAGAGAGCAGGGGTCCCTGCGGCTGAAGCGTAACGGAGAAGCTCTGCTCTTCCGTCTGAATGGATGCAGAGAAGTTTCCTGAACACGCCCAGCGTGAGGGGAGAGGCATGCTCTGGAAGCAGGAGCAGTAATGGAACAAGGGGAACGTTCGTGACAGGGGAACCAATCAGCTGGATGCAGCACGTGGTTATTTAATTTTGATCTAATAAGTTTGAGGTCGTTTTTTCACTTAACGTTATGCAAGAACTGGTCTTATTTACCATTGATTTCCCCCCCCCCTCCTCCTGTGGATGAATAACTGAAGTCTAGAGGAATAAACTAATGCTACTGAACTGTTAAATTATTTTGTTTAATATTACACTTTGAGTATCTTTTTCCACATAAAATCTGTTTCTGAATTACAAGCGTTTTCTTTACATTATTTAACGATGTACACTGTAAAAAATAAAAATAAAAAAAATAAAATGAATTGAAACTTTGGGCTTCCCTGGCCGTAGTTAGTTGTATGTTTTGCACTAAACCCAGGCACTGCGCTTCTTGTACGATTGCGCTTTGTGCTGCAATTTGTTACCTTTGTAGAATATTTAATGAAGTCATTCAAATAAACCAAACCTGCTTTTGTTGAGCTGTGGGTTTTCTTGTTGAACAGCAGGCTCCAACCTCTCCGTCCTTTTCCTGGAGTGATTTAACTGTTACCCAATTTATTGGTTTATCACAGGAAAGTACAAGAAACCCGTTTTAATGAGACCCTTAACTTCTCAAAAGCAGTGATCGGTAATGAGCCTTCGGCCTTTTAATTGAATACTCTGAAACAAGGTACTGCACAGAATAATTCATAGGATGGATCTTCAAGAGGAGGGGCCTAAGGGAAAGGGAGGGAGCAGCCGTGAAGGGCAGCGCATAAGCAGTACGATTGCTTTTATGGCCGAGACTGTCAAGAAGTTCCCAAATAGCAGCGAAACACGCTCAGCTACGAGAGTCGGGAACCTGGCGGCTCTCCCCGTCTGAAGCACAGGAGGCGCTTTGCTAGCAGTGGTTCTGTGCTGCCTCCTGGCAGTGAAGCTGGAGCAGGGTGTGCTGCAAGGGCTGGGGGAGCCCCCCGTCCGGGCACAGAAGAGTCCTACTCTTTTTCTGTTGGGTCTGTTGCCCTCCTCTCTGGGGTGGAAGGGAGCAGGGATGTGCACCTGCCCTGCTGGGGGAGACGAAACTTTTTACTGTAGCTCTATAATAGGAATTCCATCCCTAAATTTGCAACCCTACTGGTAGAGTAGAAGAGTGGAACTATTTCACGGGGGCATTCTCAAACAACTGTAGACTTGCAGGAATTATTTGGTATTTCTAAACACTAATTGCTGCTGCATTTCTTTCCATTTTAAGAACAGCTGCTGTTATGAGTCATGCTGCTCAAGGCCTTAAAGGAGGAAAAAAAAAAGCTCCAAGTGTAAGTTTTACTGCCCTTTCTAAAAGGGACCAATTCTGAGAGGCTTATTGCGGTGATTTCTCTTCGAGGAGGCATGGCTACGTTTGCACTGTTTCTGTAGAGTCAAGAGAGCCGATGCAGTTGTGTTTATATGAGGCTTTTAATTTTTTCATTGTAAAAGTTTGGAGCGGCTTTGAATACAGTAATTCTGAACGTCTGCACATTCCCTTCCTAACAGGTATCCGATTTCAACAGTGAGTGCATGACTCAAACATGTGGTATGTATTTCTTCCCTGAGCTGTTCCGAACGCAGCACTGAATTGGAGAGAAACCAGTACGGTGAAATGTGAAACTATTTTCTAGATGTAATCTATTACAGTTAATTATAATTTGTCCTGTCTTTCTATACTGAAGTCAATCTTTCTTCTTTGTCCTGTCGAGGAGGTAAGTGGATAGAAGAGGATCTTTCAAGGAAAAAGGACCGATGAAGTGGTGAAGGTAAAGTAGGAGGAACGGGAATAAATGCTGAATACTTCAGATGTATTTACATTTAGACTGCTTTAAGAGACTTGACCAGATAGAGCTGTGATGGCAAAGCACAGGAACGAGGTCCCGTTTCAAGTCTGACATTGATTCCGGGGTTGGACTAATCAAAGAGCTTGTGTAAATTTTCCTGGTCCATCTCTAACTTCCAGTCCCGTGGTATCATCCTCCTTGTCTCCAGCACTGCACTTCTGAAAAATACTACTGTATCCAGTTTGAAATACTACTTAAAAATTCTTTCTTTGACCTTCTTACTGGAAGGAACAGCTGTTGCTTTGCTCCGAAGTTGCCCATCTTAAAGCAGATGCAAGGCTGAACAGACATGGCGGTAGTCTCTTCAGCTTCCTACTTGTGACTAGCCAGAACGTCTTGACTTTGAGCTTGTTAAACAGGAAGTGAGTTGCAATGGTTTGAAGGGTACAGAGGCACAAACAGCTGCAAGCGTGGTTTGTTTTTCAAATGTCATGTTTATTTTCGTATTGAAAAGGGTTGAAAGCTTACTTAAAAACGAAGTGCAGCTCCCATTTGTGTTACAAAGGGTCCAAGCAAGCACTGTCTGAGATGCTATGTGCAACCCCCTGGCAGCGGTCCCAGTGTGCTCCTGCCCCCGAATCCACCACAGCCGAGGAACGAGCTGAGGAGGAGCAACGGGCTCTGACCCTGTTTGTGCAGCCACAGGGCAAACGGCTGGGTTTGCCGCAGGTTGGAGGCAAACACTGCCGCAGCTTCGCACCCTCAGCCTCACCGAACAGGCGACCACGGCTTGTGGGCTTTGTCATCTGACCATAACCCACTCTTCTCCCCATTTTACTGAAAATCTCTTTTCTCTGTGCTGAAATGCAACACTGAGGGAGAAAGAAGCTATGAATTGCATCTCATTTTAAAGATCAATTCTGTTACCATTTGCGGCAAATTACGTGTAATGTCAGCTTGTAATACAGCTGTAAGTCTAGTGCTGCAGAAGCACAAATGATTGCTTGTTTACAGAAAAAGGCATCTGAAACATGTAATAACCTAGAAGTACATTAAGTTCTTGCTGGCTGTATTAAACTCTTCTGTGTTGCTTCACTGTACTATGCAGGAAAATCTGTTAATGCATGAGACTTCCTCGCGTAATTTGAACAGCCAACTGGAGTCTTCTGATGTAATCCAGCACGCAGGTAATGATACCACCAGGTGCCTTACGTAGGTTCTAGCCTCCTTTTCTTCAAGCTTTGACTTCTCCTGTGGGGGCTGCACTCTGCCAAACAGGGAGACAGTGGGAAAGGGAAGTTTCTTAAAGCGCTTTTTTCTGCTTCTAAAAGTGCTCCTCAACTCTTTTTCTAGCTCTTCCTTGATAGGACAGTTGGATGGAAAAAACAGGTAGTTTTCCTAGCCCACTATCACAGCATCTGCAGCCAGGTCCAAGAAAAGAAGGATGTTTCTCCCACTCCAATTTACTAATCTAACAGTGCTGCTTTCAAAGCCAAGAGCCATTGTTAAGGCAGAACTCAGTCAGTTCTTGGTAGCACGTACCTGGGGTATGCTCGCTGGCACAGCTGCGGTTGCTCGTGATTGTAGCAGATGGCTGCAACTGTGCAAGTCTAGCAGAAGCTTTGTGGTAATTCATTCTGTGAGGTGTCCTGTTATGAGTAGTCATTTGATGATGTCCATGGGGTGTTTCAGCTATCTGGTGTCCAGCTGATGGGTCTGCCATTTTGTGACCCATTATCTTAAGATCAGTGGTCTCCAAGGAAATGTCCCAAAGTTCAGGATCATCTAGAATGAATGAAAAGGTGATGAAACCAAAGACGACAATATTGTACTATGGGAGCGACAGTAACTCCAGGACCAGCCCACTCTTTTCCTATGAGTGGTGGCCACTACAAAAGTGAAGCTGTAAAGCACCTTTTATGTCAGCGCACAGCAGGGAACCAGTACTACCCCTTGTGCTCTGGATTTCAGCAATGTCCAGGCACTGCGGTGTAAGGGTGACCCAAATAGCCACAGTTATGTTAAGACACCCCCTCACCCCCACAAATGTTCTGTTTCTGTGCAATATCACTTGAGGAAAAGGGTTTACCGAATACATTGTAACAACTCCCTACCGAAAAGCATGGTGTGCAACCCCTCGTAGTGATGGACATCATTTCCCTGCCACTCAAGCAAGGTTTGTATTGCTAAGATCAGACTCATACTTGCACTTCTATTATTCCAACCTCTTCAGAACTTTGACCTTTATGCTGTACTCCGAAAAGCTGATTTAAATGCTAATGATTTAACACACTATTGCTCATCACTTTTTGGCTGACCTGCGAAGAACTCCTCTTCTATTGCTAGTTCCTGTTGTACTGCTGCTGGAGTGCTGTGCTTTACCGGAGGATCGGATGTTGCTGGATGGAGGTAACAGAAGAAGAGATTAATATTAGAAATACGGAAGAACCCTTTTACTCCTTCTTAACAGAGCACAAGTCTGAAATGGTAAGCAGCAGCTGCCACCAGGTACCCTCTTTTTTCCTAGAGCTGGTTGTGTTTTGGTAGCAGTATGTGGAATGATAAGATTCTGTGCCTGATGATGGCTGATAGCTGCACTACTTCAAACTGGTTTTTAGCCTGTTTACCCCATCCCCAAGTTCCTGCTTACCACACAGCTGTCCAGACTTCCCCATGAATAAAGAGCAACATATTAGTAGCTAATGCAATATCTATTTGCCTGCAACCCACCTCAGTGGAAAGTTGCAGTTCTAATGATGCAGCTTTAGGGCTGACATTCCTGCCACTGTAAGCGGGGCGGGGGGGGTGGGGAGCAGAAAAGGATGATAACCCTCCTTCCTCTGGTCTCAAAGGTGTGTTGATGGTACAGTACAAAAGCAAATGAAACTGGTTGGGCTCCTGTATTGAGGGCAACACAAGTCTGCCAGTAGCTATCGTTAAAACTGTCAGTTTTTAGTGCCAACTCTTACCCTGTTTGCTGCTAGGAGCAACTACTAGAACCTGATGCTTTTTCTCCATCTGTTCCCGGAACTGTTGCTGTAGCTGCTTTTGTCGCAATTTCCGCTGGTAAGTGGCATCACACTCGATAGCTAAGGAGTCGGTATTTCTGCCCCTCCCCCCAAGTAAGCACAAAGTTAAACAGGATTTCAGCAATTACATTTTATGAAGAAAAAAATGCATAAAGAAATAACAGCAAGGAAAATCCACTAAACTTGCATTTTATGACATCTTCCAAATTGGGCTGTCCGTGTGTTTTAAAAGGTACAGTAACTTCTAATATAGCTTATAAAATAAATTTATAATAGCAGTCTCACCTGGAACTATTTGCCTGTTTGTTATCTGCCACTGCTACAGCAGCCTCTGTCTGACCAGGCTTACAAGTAGATGCCATCTCACAATGTTGCCTCCCTCTTGCATTCTGCCTTTCCAAACAGCTATTGTATCTTGCTTTCTCTATTTCAGGCTCAGAGTCCTCTCTCTTAGCTTTGACCAAATCTAACTCAGGGGGTATCTAGTAAAGGAAAAAAAGAAAACATATTCAGAAATTTCCTTCATCAAGTTAATGAAATATGCACAGGCTTTTTCTATACAGTACTGTGAAAAAACTAGTTTGTTTGCTCTAAGTGGAACAGTAAGTTAGAAAATTGAAATGCGTTTTCAGTACAAAGTCATTCAGTTAGTTAATAATTGAATTCATCCGACTTTGTGTTAGCTTAATAGTTCAGTGCTTCAGGGCAGATAGCCCACGTCTCCCCAGACTGTGCTCTCTGCAAACGAGAACAGTGATCGAAGCAGAATCCTACAGCTCAGACAGTCTCACAAGCCTGCTGCCGAGTCTGTTAGTTTTGCCGGTTCCGTTTTCACGCTTGTATTAAAGGGCATGGCAGACCTTTACTCAGCTCTGCAATCGTGAGGTCACTGAGGAAGGTACACCATTCTCTTTTTATTAAAGACGGGATGGTTTGGCTCTGTGATTTTACAGATTTGTGGTAATGCCTCTACTAGACCATGACCCTGGCAAAGCGGAGATCTGTGCCATCTTTACTTGGTGAGGTGTCACTTTGGATCTGCTCCTTCAGGCTAAGTTAGCTAAACAGAACTGCCTCAGTTCTAGGCTGGCTAGCAGAGTTCGGTAAATCCTATGATGAAGGCAACTTTACTATGAAACTCCATGGATGAGCAGTTGTAAAAGGCTTACTTTCTCCTCAATGAGCAAGGTAGGTTGCTGCCTAGAGGCTTACTGCCCCCAGCTGGTAACAAGATTAATGTTGGTTACTGAGGTGCAACCTCGGTAACAGCCAGGACAACTTTAATATGATGAAGACTGTTGTGTTACATCACAGCATACTTATAAATAATTGTGATAGCTCTGAAAGAACGTGGTTAAAGCATGGTTGTCACTGATGAAGACGTACATCACAATTTCTTGTCTCTCTCTGGACCAAAGACAGACCTCCACAAGAGGCATTTCTCCGTGGTGTTGGTTACCTTGGAAGGTTCACTGTTTGACCTAGTGCTTCACAGAGTAAAAGTAACTGCAGCTCTTCCCTTGCAAACTGAAACCTAAGGAGGTAAGGAGTCTGAAAAGCAAAGCAAGATGTAACATGGCTTCTTACTGTTCAGTAAGGATAAGAACCATATTACGGCAAGGAAAGTAAGTGTTGAAGTACGCATCAGTTGTACATGCTAATTCTTCATACATTCAAGAGCCACAGTTTACTGGTAGTATCGTATCCGGTATTTAAAACAAATAAATTGGAGTGTAGATCTTCCTAATGTTACTCCTCATCCTCCAGCAGCCAAGTCCAGTACATCCTGCTGATAATTCATTGCAAAATTCAGGTGCCAACACATTTTTGAAGTCAAGCAGAGGACATTTGCAGGGCCATGTGTACACTCCTCATGTAGCAAAGGAAAATAGTGCGACCTGTTTTGCTGTTCTGTGGTAAAACTTGGAAGTGACTGTCAACGGCTAAGAAGTTGTTATGGGTCCAGCCTAAACGGTTTGGTTCACCCTTTGTATCATAGATGCATCTAGCATTTTGCAGTGTTCTTTTGGGAAGGATCCAATTTGGTTAACTGAATGTTGAAACTACCTTCAGAAATTACCTTTGCTTGAGACCTCAGTACAAAAACACTTACAGAATAACTACTCGTTAACTATTCTAACAAGAGCAATGAACACTGAGGGGTGAAATACAGGCGCGCTGTAAACTTCGTTACAAGGACCACTCTGAGTTTATTTTCTGTCTAGGTGTGATGTGCGTTAGGGCCTGGTAGAGTTTGAATAACGGTTAGTAGAAGGACAAAGTAACTATCAATGTATATATTGACATTGCTACTGTATGGATTTTGCTTAGAATTAAGCGAAAGTTCCAACTACAACAAGCAGCTTTGGTACGTGACCCACCTGGTATTGTTTCTACGATATCGTGGGCTATGCGTATTAAAAACTTTATTTGAAGGAGGAAGTCTTTCTCATGGAAAAACTTCCTATTTTCTGCCAAAGCTCCCTGAAGTCTAAAGCACACTCCTTTTCCTGCTGCCCACTGGTTGACATATAGGCTGTCAGCCTGAGAGACTTCAGGACTAAATGAAATGGTCCTGATTCTGCAGGAATGGAAGAGTAGCCAGGTTACACAGATAATAGATGTACTGTCTGGCTACTCTTCTGCCCTGCCTGCAGGGGCATAAACCTGCCCTGGTTTTATGACCTATTACAGCAATTGGCAATTGTGTCACTGTATGCAGTTATCTCTTTTTTTTAATTCCTGAAAAAGTCCAGTAATGAGAGAAATATGTCAAGTAAGTTTGACTTTTAAAATTCATAATAGTAAACTGGATTGTGCTACCACTGACAACGAGAACAAACTGAGAGATCTGTTCTGGCTTTTGCCTTAGAGAGGGCAAAAGTATACAGTAAAGACGTGCACACAGCAGACTCTATTCTCCCAAGGACTTCCATTTCACCTATGTGATGAATATATGACTTGACACTGGTATCATTGCTGTTACGCATTTAAAGCAGAAGTGGCTAGATGAGAGCAATGAACTGAGTTGCTATGACTGACAAAGCTTAAACAGTCTTAAGAACTGCACCACATGGAGAAAATGGCACCTAGACCGAGCTAGTTTAAACAGTTTAGTGCTTTCTGTGGTAACATTTAATCTGCTATGAACACAGATGTACGCATTACTGGCACTGAACAGAGAGACGTGGCCAACATGGCCATAAATGTCACATGACATCTTGAGTAGGGTACTGTTTCTTCACCATAGTAACCTTGCCTACCGCAAATAGTCAAAATTTAGAGTAGTCGTGGTGAAATGTCGGGGAAGAACTCTGTAACAAACAGTTCACACAAACTAGCAGGCAAAGGCTATTGGTCTCATAGCTGGAAACATGCAGGGATGAGATGCATTGATATCATTATTTATAATCTTTTTTAATATGAAGGACCAGGAGCAGCGGACATCTAGCAGTCCCTGCTCTAACAGCCCATGTACTGCACCTGACGTGGAAGCTTATTCACGGCTCGTAGGTAGTCTTTGTCTAGGATGCAGTTCCCAAGAGCATTCCCAAAGCACCTGAGAAATAAGAGAGCTCACTGTGACTGAAAATAACAGTTGATTCTCACTTAACTTCTGAAAATGTACGAGTACTGATCTTCGCTTACTTGAGTGCCCTCTTCAGTCCATCTGTTACTGCCTCCTTTCTTGCCTTTTCTAGGGACAAGGCCTTAGACTTCAGGCCTTCACTGACTCCATACCCCACATCTTCATGGTATGACCCATCCTGCAGTAAAATTTTAAAACTAGTAAGTATAAGGGAATTTCTGCACGTACAGCACTTCTTGTTATATGCTGTGCTTTCCTAAGCCTGATTACTTGCTCTTAGCTGGTTGTTCTACAGCAAGGTCAATGTTTGGGACACCGCTAGGTTCTCTGGTGTAATACAGTACTTGAGAACCACAGTCTGACCTATGCATGAACTTTCATTCACAGCTTTAGGCAACTGCTCAACTATAGACAGAGCAAACAAACAAACAAAAAAAAAATCCACTTACCTTAAGCTGAACTTTCACAAATGCACAGACCCCCACATAGAACCTGCCGTTGTTGAGGTCAACAAAATCTGAGAGGGAGAAGTATCATCCTAAATAATACAAAAGACTTCTGACCCACATTTAGATCTTATTTTGTCCTTTGAGGACACTCATAAGCCTGTACCATACTTGCTGAATATGCCCAAGACACTGTATCATCTTCTATAAAATGGAGCATGACTTACAAAATATTAACTGTAGTTTTGAGAATGCTGACTTGCATGTATGCTCTGGGCATGTTACATTATACTTTCTGGTTATTAGTGGCTAGCCCTGCCAAACACTCACACCCTGCTACTACATGTATAAACTTAAAACGTATAAAAGAAGGAAGAGTTATAAATGTTACTTTTCATTCAGCTACGTATCCTACATGTTCAAAGCATAACAGTTTTTTTCAGCTGGAAGGAAAAATTTAAAGTATCAATTTATAAAAACAGTAATGGAAAAGAAACTGTTGCCTATACAAGTAATTTCTTTCCTATTATATACTAGAAGTCTCCAGTTTGCGAAATTTTGCACAAGGTTTTTTATCCAGGACAGACTATCTAAAAGAGCTTAACAGGTTGCAATACAACTCTCAATCCAGAAGCTCTAATCTACCTTATTCTACACCAAAAGCGATGCTATATAATATACATAGGGTATTCTAGTTAGCAGTCTTGCAAGTCTGATAGTAACATGACACGTCTGAAATGAAATGCTGTAACTGTACAAGTAACTGTACTCTGGGGTCCAAAAGCGCTTCTGTACTCAGCTGGTCTATTTGTTTAATTGTTTTGTAAACCTGCCAGAGGTGCAAGCCCTTTTTCTACCCAGAAACTTAAAACCAAACATAACAGAATCCTCTGTCTCTGAATTGCTAAGGAATGACTTGTTATGGCATTATTTGAAAAAGATAGAAGCTTGAAGGATGTCAGTCCTTTCTTGACTGAAAAGGAGGGAGGAAAAAAAAAAAGTGATACAGAATAGATGGAAACCAATGAAGTAACTTGTTTTATGTCTAGAATCTACCAGCCTGAGGTAAGAAATGATTTCTGCAGGTGGGGGGGAAGGAAGGAGGTCCATTTACGCAGTTGCTTTGAGCTACTTCAACGCCCAGTCTTCAGTCTAAGCATAGCAGATCTGCAAATAAGGACAATACTTCTCTGGTAAGTACTACTTCAGCTATTGAGATGGAAGAAGCGTAAGCTTCATATCACCTGAATACGGTTTTCTAGAAGAATAATTTTTCCAAAGCTTTCTACTGTAAAAAAAAAAAGTCTCAGAACCAGGTATTGGCTAGAAGAATCTGCAGAAAAAGATGGGTCCCTAAAGATCAGGAGAATATTAACTGAGAGTATTAACTTGTTAGAATAGAAAAATTACAGGTGAGTATGAAAGTTGGCTCAGGGCTGCTGGGTGTTAAGTAGTTTAATTGTAATTACTCTTGACTCTAGTCACTGAGTGTTCCCATAGAGATCAGAAAACTTGATTATAATAGCTCAAGAATAATCATAAACACACTTAGAATAATGACTATGATCCAGTACAAGATCTAAAAAGAAAACAGAAGGTCCATTATTATTCAATTTCTCTCATTCTTCCCAACTGCTAAGACACCTGGAAATTCCACATGCCTCTCCCCAGGTTCTTTGAAGTGATCAAGTTCTAGGATAGATACCCTGGTCCTTATCTGAGAGACTTTTCCTTCAGGGCCTCACAGTGAAACAAGAAGAAAGACTGCTTTATCCTCAAGAGATGCTTACCAACATTCTGCTGAGTGACTGAATGAGCCCAGCCGTTGAAGCCAAACATCTCATTGGCCAGACTGATTACCTTGTGACCCTCAATGTAACAGACCTGAAAAGAAAACCATATATATACGTATATATAAAAATACATACACATGTGCACAAATATATACATGCTTATTTTAACGAGGGATTACACACGTTACACTGAGGAAACCCAGGTAAGTTCAAGGTTCAGATAATGTGAATAAAAGAGAGATGGTGCAGCTTTAGGTTCACCCTCTTCCAGCAACTGTGGTAGAGGGCTAATATGACAACAAATAGGACTTAATCAAGGGAAGGCAGACCTAGCGGGCACTAAAGAGGGTAAAATGCAGCCAATGTTATATAATGCTCCATATATTCCAGTTCTGGGAAAAAATAAGAAAAAGTCTCAAGGATGAAGCACTGCAAAGTTGAGTCCTTTTTTTGAAGTGTAAAAGGAACCTGTGACTCAGTAAAAGCCAGAATTTATGCTATGCTGACTTTGCTTTCATATCTGCACATTAAACTACTAGTGGGAAATTAACTTAAGAAAAATAAGGATTATTGCAACTTTTTTTACCCTAGTTTTGCTGGAAAAAACTGTGAGTTGAAACACCTATGCATGTTTGTTCATACCTTTTGTCCTCCTCCAGCTTGCCGACTGCTGATATATTCTGGACCCAGTCTCTGACGAAGAGCATGCTGGATAGCTTGATATTCACTTGCTGTGTATTGATACTTGACAAAAACAAGGTAAGACAAATCTCACTCTCCCCATTTTAGCTCCCCCTCTTCTCCTAATATCACTTCTTTATCCCATTTTTTCCATGTACAGTCCTTCCAAGAGGTGTATAATCCATTTTTAGAATCAGGATGTAACAGACAGGGAAAGACCTCAGGGTGTGTGTGTGTGCATTACATTTGTGCATTATATTCTGGAGAACAAGTCTTATGAGGAACGGCTGAGGGAGCTGGGCTATTTTAGCTCCCCCTCTTCTCCTAATATCACTTCTTTATCCCATTTTTTCCATGTACAGTCCTTCCAAGAGGTGTATGATCCATTTTTAGAATCAGGATGTAACAGACAGGGAAAGACCTCAGGAGGTGTGTGTGTGCATTACATTTGTGCATTATATTGTTTTTTTCTCTTACTCTTGAAGTATATGTATACAAGCATTAATTATTGAGCTGTAGCAATTCTTTTTCATTTCTCATAACCATCACTTGCATTAGAAGAACCGAGATGAGCCAGGCCTATTAGTATCCTATTGAAATCTTAATGCAGTCATAATCCTAGTCAAGGTTGCCAGGAACACACATATAAGCTTGTGTTTTACCTTGCAAAAATAAAACGTAATATTTCTGTGACCAACAAGAAAAGTATATTCAAAAACTCCAACAAAAACAAAGTTCAAACTTATTCTACCATCATATGGCATCAGGGCAGGGAGGATAGCAGCTCAGGCAAGCAATCAAAATAGGAGTTTCTTGAGGAGTGTTCAGCAAATTCCCCTCATGCAGGGAAGGTCCTTTGGATAACTCCAGCATCACTGGTATCATTGGATAACACCAGCATCACTGGAAGCCTAAAGTGTTGTAACTTTTGCTCCTTGTCTTAGTAGAAATACAATTTACAATCTGTAAAGTTTAGAGAAGCCTAAATGCATATTTAAGGATTCAAGCACTAAAAAGCTTGTGTTGCTATGCTCTGATGTGGGACAGAGCAGAGGTTTTACCACCTAAATCCTAAGTATTGTGTACGCATGTATTGGCTGCCCTCTCATTCAGCAGAACACAGAATTCGATAGTGTGTGTGCCATATATGTTCCCACACCTGCGAAACCTCTCTAATTTGTATTTGGTTCTATTTAAACTTAAAGGAATAACTTCGTCTTTTTCTGACACTAAAATGCAAGCCTGTAACCAAAAGGTATAAAAAAAGGGAGAGTACACATGCTTATGCCATATTCAGGAACTATGTATAAATGCCTATCATGGAGAAGAGAATTCACCACCAAAAGGTCTGTTCAGTCCAGATGCGTTTTTTTTTCCCAAATTATTTTAAATTTTTTAAAATTATTTTTTAATGGCTGAAAGTAGTTGACTTTTCTGAACCAGTACTGAGAATGTGTGTAAGCATGAACCAGGCCATCTGGGAGTAAGAGAGAATAAAATGAGCCCCATTTTTAAGGAACAAAATTAAAAACCTTTTGTGAAGAATCCAGAGCAATTTATTACAACTCGAGGCATGCCAAGGCTATCATGGAGGAAAATGTGATGTACGATTAGGTATAGTGTAGCTCGGGTAATGGATGTGACTCCAGCCTTACTGTATCCAACTTTAAAATGAGTAAATATGCAGGGCAGGTTTCCAGAAGCACAAGCCCAAAACTTCTGTTTCCCTCTCAGGCAAAAGGAACTGACCTGTCCGAAGCAAGCAACCGAATTGCTAGTGCTGGAACTACTGCTGCTGATGTGGCTTTCGCTGTCTTTCCCTTGACTTTCAGGCATCCCTAAAGATAAGAGGAAATACAAACACTGAAGATAGCGGAACTAACAGTCTGTATAAAGACAAGCCAATGTGTTGAAGTCCACTTGCCCAGTGAGTATAACAATATTCTGTAATAGATGTGTTGGACGTTACAGCAATATTATAATTCTCGCTCCATGGAACTGCTGCAGCCCCAACTGGAAATTTGTTTTCTGACGTTGTTTCAGAACTGTCAAAACTTTTCTTCTTAAATACATTACACTACGTAGGCAGAAATGGCTAGTTTCATCCTAGAAGCAGAGGCACTGTTCTGGTCTTCCATCCATCACCAACAAGGGTGAGCCTAAATTAAATCAGTGAAACAATTATTTTATTTAAAGAATAAATAAATTATCCTTGCTAGTAAAAGAAAAAAATATAATTCAACAGCATCTGGATCCTGCATAAGATCAGAGACTAGAACAAAAAATTAATAATGTCTTGAGTCCTTATTCTAAATATTAAATTGGTAACAAATGATATCTTTGTTTTTTTCATTTTAGATAAACGTTGAATGCATTGTACCATTCTAGGTAAGGAAAAACAAAATAATCCCCTCTTTCAAATTCTTCAGCACTGTCTTCCTAGATCACTTTCAATATCCATTAGTACTTAGACTCTGATAAAAAGCAGAGGCAACTTTCTAAAATTTGACTTGTCTATACCCTGCCTCCTCAGTCTTCATTTTAGATTATTGTTTTGACTGTAATCATACTGTCTTGTGTTATGATGGTATCATATAAACTATGCAGAGCTGAAAAACATACAGAACCTGCAAGAATGTTAAGAAGTTGTACCAATAATTCAGTAGATGGCACCCTTTTCCAAGCCAGTATCCAACAACTACCCAGTATTGCATCACCACTCCACCCTGCTGCTGGAGAAGTGGTCTTGCTGAGACCTTATACAACAGGCGTGCAAAGGAGCTGAGCAGCACTTCTGTATAAGCCCACAGAGGCAATTTTTAATTGTATTTGCACAAACGCTGAGTACAACCAGTAGTCTATCACTAAGATTTTTGTATGCAATACAAATATAAGACAAGTCAATATACATACAAGACAGCTGGAGATGCCAAAACAGTTTGAGGAAGTCTAAAATCCTCAGTAGATAGTGTCATTTCTCAGTCAGTCAGAACCTAGCTAGTATTATATTTTTCTACTGTACTCTAGGCTCAGCACTTTTTAAAACAAGCTGTTTTTCAAGTCTCTAAACAAGGAAGCCAAAGTTTACTGAGAACTTGGCAAACAATTTTCAGAAAAAGAATACTAGTTGTTTCATTGGCAAGTATGAGCACTGGTAATTATGCTAGGTGTAGCTAAAATTCTCCTTAATTTTGGTTGGCTATAATTATTCATCTCTGGTCCAAAAGTTGTATAACTGTACAGTGTTTATACACTTGAATGTGTTTCAATTAAAAGTTTGCTGCAATTTGTGGTAAATACATTTGGTTTTGGAAGAGAACATATAGAAATGAATATTACCAGGAGATACACTTGTGATTTAAGCAGGCTATTGCATCCCGAGGGAGACAATTAGAGAGGAAAAACTAGTATCTGTGATGAGTGGTAGAGGGAATCAAAGTTTGAACAATACTACATTCCCCCGCCCAACTCTAAGCAGCCTAAATCAGATCTTAATTATTATAAAGCCCCTGGGGAAAAAACAATGCATGAAATGTGTGTATTTGCCTACATAGCCCTATTACCAGTTTGCCACAAATATTTGTGGACAACAGGTGGGTGCCATTTTGAAGCCAAATTGATTTAACTGAAACCAGTATGAAGTCCTTTAAGTTTTTATATGGTGTGCACCATGGTCAGCCTAAATTCTCTAAAGAGATACACCTTTAATGAAGCTCTGAATAAGATGTGGGAATTGATTCTGAATGAGAACGAGGAAGTACAGCCAGCATTCTGCTGAAAACAGCTTCACATCATACAGTTTTAATCCAACAGATCAGATGCTGCTAGAGAATACTAGCCATACACTTCTTTGCAATAAACAGTTTAAAAACATGTCAGTGGTTTGTATTCAAATTATGTATTATTCTACAGCTTGTGTGAAGGAGACGGATGATGCCAGTTTAGTTTCAGGCTTTGCCTGTTGGAACAGTTTGCTTCAGCCGTGAGCCTGGTTTAAACCAAATATTCTATTACAGCAATGTGGTGTTTTTTTCCAAGCCAGTGAAGTGCAGCACAGCAAAGCCCTATGTCTCAAAGCAATTGTCAGAGCATTTCAAAGTGACAGAACTTCAATTTCAAAATTATTAGAGTAGGAGTTCAGAAGAGAGAAAAGTTAATTCTGCAAACGGAGTTAAAGATCTACCTCAACACCAGAGCCAGAAGCTAGGGAAGGCAAGGCGTTTCCATTCTTCAGTAGAATATTGTTTGCTCACCCCCCCGTCCCCACAATGTTTTAACTCGCATGAAATATTAATACTGAAGTAGATAATAAGCATACAAAAGAGCCTCAAACACCCTCCAGGGCCAGGACAGTGCTAGGAGACTGTCCGCTGCATAAACCAGCGTTAAAAAAGCAGTATTTTCAAACCATCTTTAAATACTAAAAATTAAAGTTCAAATATACTTGCTCTGCATGCAGGATGATAAAAACAATTTATCAGCTTAAAGACATCTAGGAATTATAATTTATTACTCTGTGACTGTGACCATTACTTATTATTTACAGGGAATTATTTTTAGTTTAGCTGGTAATGTTCTCAGAAAGCTTGCTTATCACTGAGAAAAAACACACACAAGACTACAGGTGTGCACTGTACTTCAAAACATTACCTTAATAGACTAGAACAGGCAAAAAAATCTTAACAGCTTTTACTACTACCATATTTTGATCTTGTTTTTTAAAAAAAAGTGTAGTAATACAAAAGCTTAAAATTTGAACAAATGAGGTACGCAATCAGAAAAATGGCTGTTTTGGGAAACTGGATATGAAATACTGATTTTCAACAACACTCTAGAAGTAGGTATTTATTTGTATGGTGGTAGCGAACTGAGCAGCTGCTGAGAAACATCTGGGTGTGTACACAAATTCCCACATAGGAAATAAACCAATTTTCTAGAACAGATAATCCTGAACTTAATCTGTTCAAGTACAACTACTGCTGCAAGTCACGGCAGCAACACTTTCAACTTCCATGACAGCATGCATGTAACTTCTAATTTTCTAAATGAACACATCCTCACACACCTGCCTACCCTACTGTCCATTACTCCAAAAAGAGATTTTGGTCCTAAATCACCTATTCACCTGCCAGTTCCCCTCTGTCTTGACAAACTAGGTTTTTGAACCATGCACTGTGCCCTAATCCTGTGCTAGGAGTGTCAGTTCCCAGTTCTCTTCAGGTGTAAGGTAGAAGCAGGCAGTTTTGCATCACTTTGAAATAGTTTGCATACCATGAATTGTGTAAGTACCACAACCTGGGAAACCCTCAGCTAGAACATGGCTGTTTCAAGAAATTACTTGTAGCATCAAAAAATCTAGAAGATATGACTTTAACATACTGTGCACTTTTAGAGAGCTTTTTATTCAACCTCATCCTTCTCTATACAGTGAGTGGCCTTCACAGTGAAGCTTTAGTTTGCTGAGCAAAAATCTTTAACATTCTTTCAATGAATGCAATTCTACTGACTCCACCAAGAGCAAACAGCTATGCATGTAGCAATAAGTGATTTAGCAAGCACTAAAGATAATACCACATATTTAACCTAAGGTTCATATTGCTTTAACACAAAAAATACAAAAAACTTCAAAAATTGTATATTTCTGTGGAGTATTCTCTCCTCTGGGAACTCCAAACTATAAGTTGATTATCCTGTTATGCAAAGGTTGCTTCATCCAACACTGAGCTGAGGTGTACATCTCTTTTAAGTACAAGATGTTCCTAATCACCATGGGCCAGTGCTATACCACAGTTTAAAAAGAGTGGAAAACAGATTATGAAATTGCTGTGGGAAAATTGCATACAATATAACTCTTCAGTTTTGACTTCTGATAATATCTCTAGGCAAACAACCTTGATGACTTGAGAAAAGTGAGGTAATCTTCCGTTAACTTCAGCAGAAGAAAAAGATATTCAATGTTTTATAGGTTAAACAATGAAATGCACAGGGAGGTCATGAGACTGAATGTCTGTTGTAGACTAAAGGTGGCCTCTGATGCTTGCCAATACCATATCGATGCATCTTATTGATATTGATTCAGGCCACATTCTGTAGTAAAACCACTCCAGCAAGAGAATAAAAAGGTATAATGTAGAAAGTTTGAGCTATCTGCAATAGTTAAAATATATTTGCTTTCAGGGCATACAAATACCACTACACCAATTTCTCCTCAGTTACAGCACATTGCAGATTTGACATACCTTCACACAGTCCCATGTATTTCAGGGGAATCTATATATGTGGGTCCAAAAGCAAAATTTAGCCCTTGGATTTATCAGGCAGTACTATGTTTACTTTTGGTATCTCTAGGATGATGATATCCTCCCTGCACAAAACAGAAAACACTAATTCTGGTTACCCTTTTTACTGATTAACATTTTAATGAACACAGTGTAAAGCTTGTTCTTCCTTATCTTTATACAAGCTTGGCAGAATAACATAGTGAATTTGGGGGGGAGTGTTTCTATTTAGAATGTTTGAATACATCCAATGTCTGAAATGAAGCCTATCTGGTCAGTTCCTGCATTTTTGGAACACAGGGTGAGAAACTCATCTCCTTACCCATGCTGAGTTTTCTGTCGTAACAGCCTTTATCCATTTGTTATGAATTCATCGAACATCACTATATCTATTGAAAGTTTTTTTTTTTTAGGATCCTAGTTCCCCAGCAATTACAAATCAAAGTCCAAATGGGTTAGTTTAACGCATGTGTTGCTGTGTTTTAGACTGCGTATTTTTCAAATGTTGCTGGTTACTCCTTCAAATGTGTTCCTTAATAGCAGTGTTATGTGTAAATT